TCGTTCCATTGAGGGAAAGAGGCATTCGCATTCTCAACTACCTCGATGACTGGCTCATACTGGCCCAGTCTCGAGCGCAGTTGTGCGAACATAGGGACATGGTACTCAGCCATCTCAGCCGGTTGGGGCTTCGGGTCAACTGGGAAAAGAGCAAACTCTCCCCCATGCAGAGGATCTCTTTTCTCTGTATGGAGTTGGACTCGGTCAATCTGACAGCGCGCCTCTCAGTAGAGCTCCTGGGGCATATGGCATCCGCTGCCGCGGTCACGCCGCTCGGATTGCTTCATATGAGACCGCTTCAGCACTGGCTTCACGACCAAGTCCCGAGATGGGCATGGCAACGCAGTACTTACCGGGTCCCAGTCACCCCGTTTTGGCCAAACCTTCAGCCCCTGGTCGTACCTTGCTTTTCTATGGGCAGGAGTTACCCTAGTACAAGTGTCCAGGCATGTTGTTATCTCAACAGATGTCTCTGCCATAGGCTGGGGTGCCATGTGCAACGGGCATGCAGCATCGGGCACCTGGACAGGGCCTCGTCTGCAGTGGCATATCAATTGCCTCGAGTTGCTAGCAGTACGGCTTGCTCTACACCGCTTCAAATCGCTGCTACACGACAAGCACATACTGGTCCGGACGGACAACACTGCGACCGTTGCGTACATCAACCACCAGGGTGGTCTACGCTCCCGTCGCATGTTGCAACTCGCCCGCCATCTCCTCCTCTGGAGTCAGAAGCATCTGAGGTCGCTTCGCGCCGTTCACATCCCAGGCGAGCTCAATCGTGCAGCCGATGAGCTCTCACGCCGGCCCGTCCTTCCGGGAGAATGGCGACTCCAACCCAAGACAGTCCAGCTGATCTGGAGACGGTAGACCTGTTTGCCTCTCCCGACACGTCCCACTGCCAGCTGTTTTACTCCCTGTCCGAGGAGACACAGCTGGCACACAGCTGGCCTCGGGGCCTACGCAAGTATGCGTTTCCCCCAGTGAGCCTTCTCGCACAGACACTGTGCAAGGTCAGGGAGGACGAGGAGCAGGTCCTCTTAGTAGCGCCATACTGGCCCAGTCGGACTTGGTTCCCAGAACTGATGCTCCTCGCGACAGTCCCTCCTTGGCATATTCCTCTGAGGAAGGATCTCCTTTCTCAGAGAGGGGGCACCCTCTGGCACCCACGTCCAGACTTGTGGAATCTCCACTTGTGGTCCCTGGACGGGACGCGGAGGTTCTAGGTGGGCTACCTCCAGCGGTAGTAAACACCATCACTTCAGGCATTTTCGGTTGACGATTCGTGCCTTGAATTCGGGCCGGTCGACTCTCACGTTGTCCTGAGACCCTGGCCTGGATATGTGCCCAAAGTTCCCACCACGCCTTTCAGGGATCAGGTGGTGAACTTGCAAGCGCTGCCCCAGGAGGAGTCAGACCCAGCCGTTGCTCTGCTCTGTCCCGTTCGCGCTTTGCGCGTTTACGTGGTCCGTACGCAGAGCTTCAGGACCTCAGACCAGCTCTTTGTCTGCTTCGGTGGGAAGACCCCCGTAGATGCCCGATCGCAGTCGTGCTCTCCTTTCTGCAAAAAGGGCTGTCTCCCTCCACCCTCAAAGTGTATGTTGCCGCTATCGCCGCACATCACAGTAGGCGACAAGTCTGTTGGGAAGCACAACTTGATCATCAGGTTCCTTAGGGGTGCGAGGAGGCTGAATCCTCCGCGCCTCCACCTGGTACCCTCCCTGGATCTCCCCTCGGTCCTGATGGCCTTGAAGGAGGAGCCCTTCAAACCTCTGCAGTCAGTAGAGCTTAAGTTTCTGTCGCTAAAGACAGTGCTCCTCACTGCATTGGCTTCAGTTAAGAGGGTCGGGGACCTGCAGGCATTTTCGGTTGACGATTTGTGCCTTGAATTCAGAGAGGAGTGGCATCTTCTTGGGCATTGGCCCGAGGCACCTCGATAGCAGACATCTGTAGAGCTGCCGGCTGGGCGACACCTAACACGTTTGCGAGATTCTATTATCTCCGTGTAGAGCCCGTCCATATGTGTAATTCCACATGATACCTCCTATACGCAGAATGTGGCTTCCGTAGGTGTTCCCCTACTTGGGTACGCTTTCCCAGTGTTATCCAATGTCCCACTGTACGGAACAGCAGTGGCGGACACCTCTGCCTAAGCCCTGTCCTATCTTCCGCCCCAACTGGTGTGAGCATTGGCTTCAGTTAAGAGGGTCGGGGACCTGCTGGCATTTTCGGTCGACGATTCGTGCCTTGAATTCGGGCCGGTCGACTCTCACGTTGTCCTGAGACCCCGGCCTGGATATGTGCCCAAAGTTCCCACCATCCGTTGCCACAGTTGCTGTACCACCGCTGAAAGGCTGAGGCACACCGTCTCGGCTCCGAAGCGAAAAACTGAATGTGCGTCTGCACACGCTCTCCTTATATACCCACGCTGCGGGGCGGGGTGCGCGACGCAAAGATCGCACGCCAACACTTATTGGCTTGTTTTGTTAACACTCGAAGGTGATTGGTCTCTCTAGCGAAGGTTACCATGCCCCCTCGGAGTGAGAGCACACTCCACAAGAGGAGTGGCATCTTCTTGGGCATTGGCCCGAGGCACCTCGATAGCAGACATCTGTAGAGCTGCCGGCTGGGCGACACCTAACACGTTTGCGAGATTCTATAATCTCCGTGTAGAGCC